ATGTACATATGTATATATGCATATTTGAAACAGGCAGAGGTTAAATAAAAAGAATAGTCCTGTGAGCACAGTGGATGGAGTACTTGACTGGCATGAAAGTGAGCTCTTTATAGAAGAGGAAAAGGAGGTAACGTGGGAGATGCATCATTTTCAGATGGGTGCTGGGAGAAAACGCTGAGGTACAGGCATTTGGCCTTCACCCTGGGATAAACTGTGAGGTAGTTAATTTCTGCGAGTGTCTTTTAGTTCAAAAATGAAAGGGAAGCCAGGAAAGCAATGGTTAGTGTATCCATGGCATGTATCTTTCGGGTGTCCGCAACCATGAGCTCTGGAAATGGTTCTGCACAGGCTGCTTATTTAGTGCCTGTCTGATTTGCAGTTTCATATGGACAGTAAACACACTGTAAACAGAGTAAGACCATCCATGCTGTGTCCCAGCATAGCTTTGGACTTTTGCACAGTTAGATTCCTACCAGATGCTGTTTCTGGGTTTCAGGAAAAAAAAATAGAGGTAAAATTTGAGGCATTATACTGGTGGCTGTAGGCACAGGGTAGATAGGGTGTTTTGTTGTTGTTGTTACATCTTAATGTTGATGCAATGATGGTACCCTACCTTTCAGATAGTACCGATAGATCAAAATGCTTATTTTAGATGGCATTTGGTATTTAGTTATTTATCTTACCACTTTCTTTTGGGTAGATGGCTTACATGTCTGAGCTTGTTCCTCATACCTACCAAACTTACAGATTATAAATAAAACTGAAAATAATCATCATTGTAATTATTTTTTCCAGTTGTTTTATCATGCATTTTAAGGTCCTGAATAACTTACTAGTAGGCTTAAAGGAGCATCATTTTCAAAATGAGCACTACTTAGTTCTGACCCGGTACAAACCATTATCTTGCTTCAAATGCTCATCATCTAGTCTCTAACATGCCAGGTTAAAACGACAGCAAAATCGCAGCTGTGCTTTTAAAGACTGCATATTCCTGTAGACCCTGAAGAGTGACAGAGTGTACCCAGCGAGGAGATGGCCTCTTAATATATCTAGTTTTTCTAATTTGTCTCTTAGCAAACTTATCCGAAGTGTTCATGTTCTATTTTATTTGCAATCTCTGAATCTGACAGGTATGAGGGGAAACAGGTTTGGAAGAAAAGGGCACGCACCCCAAAGAAAGTATCAACCTTCAGCTCATCTATCTAGAGGCAGCTGATCTCCTGCTGGTTCTTGGCCTGAGAGCCACATGATAGAATATCATAATCTGTGCTAACACAGCAGGCCTTTTTCTGAAAATGTTTTTTCTTCAGCTTGTCAGAAGCTCCTTTGGTATAGGGACCTCGGGTGATTTGACTTTTATTGTCCTGTGAGATACTGGCCTTGCTTTGGAGGCCACGAGAGTCTTTACATATTTCATAAAGGATAGCCACCTAACTCACAGGCTTGAAAAATAGAGTTTGACTCTGTTGCATGTCTTCCAGAGAGTTCCTTCTTTGTGAAAGTGTCAGACAAACTCTCTGGCAGCCCAGAAGCTACATCATTGATGACATTAGTTACAGGGTTCGGCAAGCATTGGCTGATACTTTTGTACATCTAAGACTATTCTAAATTATTTTACACATTTTAATGTATTAAAAGACCATTGAATTCTTTATTATAGATCTGCTACTTACTTTGGTAAGTTGGTTAACCTCTCTGTCTGAACTGTGGAACAGTTCTCATAGGTTTGAATGAGGTACTGCCATGGTACAAACTGTTCATAAGAACTTAGTACTGAGATGACCACTGGTGCTATAAGAACTCTTATTCCTACTCTTTTCGCTTCTTTGTTACTGAAGTATGATAGTCACATAGTATGACAAATGCTCAAATCCGGCTCTCGAATTTCACTTACTAAGGTACCCACAGAACAATAACCATGAAAATAGTGAATTTACATGCATACAGAGTCATAGATTAAAGCAGGTTGACTGCAAGGAGATGAGCTTCTCCTCCGAGCTGTGCTCCTCCTCACTGGTGTGCTATATATGCCTGCTTGTTCAGCTGTAAAGTGGGGCAGCAGCAGTGTGCGTACATGTAGAGCCTATGGGAGTTTGTGTGTTTATTTTTTCCTAACTATATCTCTTAAAATACGAGTAGTCCTTGCTCTTACTAAGTTGGCAACGTACGCTAATTATTGTTTTAGTATTAAGACTAGAAGGGGAGATTGTGCCATTCAGGCTATCTATTATCTTAGAAACTGTAGGCTGAGGACGCAGTTTAGTGGCAAAGCACTTGCTGGAAGTTAGGACAGTCCCTGGGTTCAGACCCAGCATGAGATGGGAGGTGTTGAAAGAAGTCTCTTACAGAGGTATCTCTTTTTCCAAATTGAAAGAAATGATTGGAAATGACTATATAAGTCATTAATACAATATCTTGTGCTAAGTGGCACTTAATCAGTATAGCATAGTTTTATTTTTTTTTTTTAAGCTTGAGGATCATTTTGTTAGAGTTTGAGAAAGAAGCCACAGATCTGGCAAATTTTAAGTCTTGGCAGCAGCTGCATAGAAGAGAGATAGAAAAGAGGAAGAGGCTTGGTTATGCCTGTGAGTGAGGATTCAAGAAAGCTGGTATGTTCCGCAGTGGAGGTTGGCACGCAGCTGTACTGGGGACAGTCCTCAGAGAAAGAGCAAGAATTTCCAGAGGGCCAGGGCAAGCATGCTTTGAATTTGGTCAGTATTCGAAGAAGGAGTTGGAAGTGAGAAAAAGAGAAGTTACACTTTCAGAGTTGGAAAAGAGGGCAAGCTTGGTGGAGATCGCAAACAACTGCAGTATTCTTACTTAAATGTACTTTGGTCTAAAATTTTCATCTTTGAGAGATGTTAATGAACCACAAAGTTTGCTAGTTAGTACTCAGTAAAGAATAAATGTTCTTTTCTGCTTCTCTTGCAATACAAAGAGGTAGCAAGTTTAGAAATCACAGTCAGATGAGATAGCAGCCTGGCTTTAATCCTGGCCTTAGAGAGAAGGCTTGACTCTCTATCCTTGTTGACACTGAAGTTGTCAATCTGGTTCATTTCATCTAGTAGTTAACATCAGAGTCACACTTCCCTTTGTCTCAGGTAGTTAGGACTTTAAGAACTGCAGCTGGCCCCTGTTTCTGTACTGCAGAACTTCTAACTGTGGTAAAGGGAGCAAATACATTTCATCTCTTAACTTACAGAGCAAGACTCCAAGACCTAGAGAGTTGAGATTTGCTTACCATGGCAGAGCTGGCTAGGGAAGAGGACCTTTTCTGCCTCTACCCAGTCTCTTCTCAGGCACTCCTGTGTGCTTGTCCAAGCCTTGTGTTCTTTGACAATCAGCCCCCACACCTCAGTGTGTCACCTAGACTGTAGGAATCTAAAGGTACAAATGACTTCCAGTGGCATCTAATTTAATCCCTTCATTTACCTGAGAGGCAGGGAAGGCATGTCGCAGGGTGCTATCAGCTCCTCAACCCAGTTATTTTGCTGAATCCTGTGTTTTCTACCTTAAACCCAAACCGTGGTCCCCTGGCCATACACAGGGCTTGTTCACTGCAGATCCTAGAAGGTGACCACCAGAATTTCACCCCACTACCCCCTGCCTTCTCCACCTCTTTCCTGGACCTTGAGGAATTTTCATGACCTTTCCTAACTCTTCTCTGTTTTGAAGCATGAAAAAAATAATGGCTATTCCAGTCTCCTGTGTTAACTTTATGTGGCATTTTCTTAGAGCTAGTATGAAGTATGTTTGGTCTTGAAGTAAAGCAGTAAGCTGTCAAAGAAAAGCAGGATGATTGGGAAGGGCACAACCTAAATAAAAAACTTGCATTCTAATTTAGCCCTCCCTGTCCCTCACCCCAAAGGCAGTAGCCCTCAGTAGAGCGTCTCATTTGAAGCTTCCCCCCGTCTCTCCATGGATTAGTTATATTTTTCTGGCTTACTACTTCCTTTTCTCTCTTTAAATATGGAATTCGGTAATTAGGTTGCTCCTCTGTCCCCTTCTTCCTAACCCATGAGCACCCGTAAAACTAGATGTCAGAAGCAATAAATTCTTCACGGAGACAGAACCTCAAAGTGGCAGAAATAATCATGAAATTAGGTACAACCCTTCGGGTGGGGGTGTCTGATTTCCCTGCCCCAATATTTACTAATATAAAGGCAAATTCCCTGATGTTCCTATTGCTAGTAGACTAGAGCTTCAAATTTAAATTTATGAAAGAAAAATATTGTTAAAAATGTTAATATAACTACTCTGAGAGCAGATTCAACCTGAGACTCTGATATAAAATTTTTCCATAGTTAAAATAGCCCAGTGATTCAGAAAGTCCCTCTGCCCTTGGCTCATCTGTTGCTTAAAGTCCTTGTGATTTTAGAAGAGGCGAAACCAGCCTGCTTTCTTTGTGCTTTCCTGCCTGAAGTAAGCTCTTCCCCAGCAGTTGGCATGTGGAGCAGAGCTGAGCTGTTGCTAACCTGTTTGTCAGTTCCTGGGCAGTTTTCTCTGGGCCTCTGCTGACATGTTTTAACATGATTACTTAAGGCCTCAGAGTGAGAATTACCGTGTTCTTTGTGGTATAGTGAAAAGATCGAGATTCTTTTTATCAAAATGAGTCAGTTGACACAGGGAAGAATCTTCCTTGTGATTTCTTTTTTAAAAATATGGATACAACTGTGGAGTCTTGGGGAACAATAATTATAAACATCATATTTTATTCACTTAATAAAGTAACTGTTGTAAAAGAAATCTGCTTTCACTAAATAAATGTGAATACCAACACATCCACTCTGGAAGACACAGTCTGCCTGCTCATGCCGAAGCTGAGGAACACAGTGGCCTCAGTTCCTAAGAGAACTTACGTGTCCTATTCAGTCCTCATTCGAATTTCTATATTTTCTTCAGACCTCAGATTTAAGGAGGTGTAAAGTTACAGTCTTAAGCAATATTGTATGCTATCAAACACTGCTTTTAAGAAAATGAGAGAAACAAACTTCATTTACCTTTCATTGTGGTGGCTGGCAGTCCATTCACTTGATACCGTGTCTCCAAGTTGAAGCAGGCTTCTCCTCTCTAATTAGGAGTAAATCTTGAAACTTAAGGTTGGTAGGAAAGTACATTTTCTTGTAAAGCATTAAAAAATAAGCATTTTCTCCCCTACCAGACAAGAGGTACTCCGGCTGCCTCTCTGGAGAGTGTCCTTTGAGGCACCTTTCAAACCGTCCTGCCCACGAACAACTGGAGCAACTTGCTCTCTTACTAACGTATATGACTCACATTGAAGAGTAGGTGAGATTTGTAGACGGAAAGGACGAATCCCAAACCTGCAGGAACCTGGGATGATTCACCTGATGGGCACCCAGAGGGTCGGAATCAGTGTCAGAAGCCAGGTTGGAGAGTGAGAGATTGGGGGGTGGGGGCTTCTACTCATCAGGTTCAATCTTAAGGTCAATTTTTATTTTTCATTATTGGGTTTTTGGTTGCTATATGTATTTATATCACCTCCACTGGTTAAATTCATCATTGAGAGAAATGGGAGGGAGGGAGGGAGGGAGGGAGGGAGAGAGAGAGAGAGAGAGAGAGGGAGAGAGAGAGAGAGAGCGCCACTGTACACATGTGGAGGTCAGAGGACAGCTTGTGGGAGATGATTATTTCCTCCTTCCATGTGTGTCCTGGGGTTCAAACTCAGGTTGTCAGGCTTGGTGGCAAGTATCTTACTTGCTGATCCAGGTAAGATTGAATGCATTTATAGTAGTAATTAATAACTTTGGAAACTTTTAGTCTTATTCAAAAATCTAATGAAATCTATAGAGTTATTTGACACGTACACACTTAAAAATATTCAAAATATTTTAAATTATTTAAAGGGTAGGTTCACTGAATCTTTTGAATGATATTCTTTGACAAAAGATGATTCTTTAAAATTATTTTTTGTGGGCTGGGTGTTATAGTGTACCTTTAATCCTGTCACATGGGAGGCAGAGACAGATGGATCTCTGTGAGTTTGAAGCCAGCCTGGTCTATGTAGGGAGTTCCAGACTACCTTGGCCTATATAGTGAGACCCTGTTTTCTCTCTCCCTCCCTCCCCCTCTCTGTCCCTCTCTCTCGCTCTCTCTCACTCTTTCCTTATGAAGCTCATCCTGGCCTTGAACTCATGATTCTTCTGTGCGTTAGGATTACAAACATGCATCACCATACCTAGCTTATTTTATTCTTTTGTGTTTTTTAAATTTTTACTCTTTCATTTATTTATTTTGAGACAGAGTCATACCACTCTGCACTAGCTGGTCTGGGACTGGCTGCGGAGGCAAGACTAACCTCAGACTCACAGACATCCCCCTGCCTCTATTTTATTCATTTTAAAAAGCATCCCACAATGACAAATTTATACAATGAAAATTTTATTTGTAACTAATTTCAGAACTTTTAGATAAAAATCTTCAATTTTCTTACATGTAACATTTACAAATCAGTAAAGATTTTATCATGTGATGGCTAGCTAGATGGCTCAGTGTCCATCAAGCCTGATGACCTGAGTTTGATCCCTGGGACCCACATGGTGGAAAGAGGGAAGCGATTCTCCACATTTGTACTATGGCACCTTGACTCTCTTTTTTGTCCTCGGGCGCACGCAGGTGGAAGAAGGAAGCGAATCTCCACAATTGTACTAAGGCACACACTCCCCACTATACATACACACACATACACACACACACACACACACACACACACACACACACACACACACCCCAAATAAATACATAAATTAATAAAATTTAAGAAGAGATTCTACCAAATGAAGTCAAAACATATTACCATCATTCATGAAGATAAATAATGACACATAAAAATATTTTGAAGTTACTAAATCTACAAGAGATTTATTTGAAATTACTAAAGCTGTAATAGGTTAATGTATGCCTTAAGGAGATAAAATATATGTATTAGTTGGTTCCTTCTATGTTTATAGCAAAATAAATGTTAAATTATCAAATTTGAGTATCATTTTTTTTATGATTTTGCCCT